GGGGCCTATATAGCTTGGGAGTTTATGGGTTTAGGGTTCAGGGGTTTAGGGTTGTGAGGAATTTATATGCTTAGGATTGCCTAGGGATATGTAATCCTAGGTCAAGAAGTTTGGGTTTCGGGTTTAGGGGCTTAAGGGTTCATGGCTTCAGGAGTTTATGGGCTTTTGACGGATTACACAGGGTCCTTCGTCTTTCTGCTCTTCCTATTGCTGCCGCTTAAACCGCAACACTGCTTCCAATGCCAGGCCGTTGCCTGAGCAAGACAGTATATGCTAACATGTTGGTCCCAAACATCACGAACAAGCCTAAACCAGTCAAGCCAAGGATCAACTAGCCTGCACGAACTTTTGGAATGCCGCGAGTTTAAAGGCACCTCCTTTCCTTATTGTGGCATATCATGAATAGATTAATGCATGCACAAACACAATCACTAGCAGCGTGTTGGTAGGTACCTTCTGGATTGCTTCAAAGGCTCTCATAGGCGGTTTTGAGTTCGCTGGCATGTTCGTTCCTTTCACAGAACCGAATGAAGTTCTTGTACTCGCCCGGGTGGGTACTAGAGTTGCATCTCACAGGCAAAGAATCGGTTTTCGGTGCCGGTGGTGCTGTAACGGGTGCCGGGGGTGCAGCAATTGCTGGAATTGCAGCAGGAGCGGTGTTGGGGTCCGCCGGGGCGCCGGCTTTTGGTGGGGGCGGACTCAAAGCAGCTGGCGAAGTCGGCGAGGGGGTGGCGGGGCCACTTGCGGTTTGGATCTCACTAAGTAGCCTTGCGATCGCTTCGATCGCCGACTGATCGCTCGAAAGGCTTCGGATAAGGTCCTGCAAAGGTTGGGCTGGTGGCTGTTCTGCTGTGGGAGCGGCGGTACCTAGGCTTGTGTGTGTCGGTTTAGAAAATAACACTGGTTGCGAACTTAGTGTTGGCCAAGCTATATTGAAAAGTCTATGTTTTCAACACAGCTCGTGTGTTAGCAAAGTTGCCAGCAGCGGACGCTTTCGGATCTGGAGTTTCAGCAGCACCTTAAATTTGCAAAAGTTGACACTGCACCTCGCGACCCCTTGTGTATAGTGCTAGCAAAGTTGCCAGCAGTGGATGTGCCCGGGCTTGGAGTCGTTGCCGTAGTCGCCGCAGTACCTTGGGTATTTAGGCGTTTCGGTTTGTGTATGCTCAAAAAGCTGCTGGCCAAGTTGCCAGCAATGGATGTGGTCGGGCTCGTAATCGTCGTCGTAGTCGCCGCAGTACCTTGGTTACTTGGCTGGCTCGCTTTATGCTCCAAAAGTAACAGAGTCGTGCCGAATTGCCAGCAACGGGTGTGGTTGGACTTGGAGTCAGCGGACCTGTAGCACGACGTGATTCCAGCTTTGGCTTCTAAGTCAGACTTCAATTTGCTGTCGAGTAACCAACAGCCGAAGATTTCGAATCGGGCCCCGGTGTCGGTGGCTCAGACCTGGAAAAGGGATCGATTTTTGGCTTTGATACCAAGCTGGAACCCAACATCTGAAATGCAGCTTAGGGTCGTGGAATCGAACGATTGAGAGCGAAGCCGGCTCCAAAAGTTCTTGTACTTGCTTTGTTCGGCTTCGCTCAGCACAGGGAGCTCAAAGTCATCCTCGCAAAACCAGCCAACATCCCCAAACCTAGCGTTTAGGGTTTAAAGTTTAGGGTTTAGCTTTTAGGGTT